CAGTTGCTTCTAAGCAACGTGGCGCGACCATGAGCGACATCTAGTTTCTTCATGGTGCGATTTCGTTTGCTTTGGGCGACATCTAGTCGACCCACGACAATATTGACTCAATATGAAGCATAATGTAATGCTCTGGAACTCGAACTATGCAATTAAGTATTGAGCGAAAATTTTCCACGAGACTATTAACTGTTTGAAAGTCGCTTTTTATCAGAATAATATAATTTTTTAATTGATTCAGTATTTGCATTCCGAAACTATTTTTTCTTTATTCTTTAGCGGGAATTGTATCTCCCGGTTGGCTTTCAGCTTAAAATTCTGCGTAATTCATGAAAGACTTTTTTTTCCAGTGCAACCTTTTTGAACTCTCTCATCACCGCTTTCAAGCCAGAGTTTCTTGCAAATAATGCTTCCGAAGTTGTTGACCTGATGCATCAGCAGGACGAGTCGAGTGAGTCAGACTGCGTGACAGTAATGAATGTCGGTAGACTATTTCAAATCGCATTTATTCGAAGATGAATTTTCGCTTCATTTGCTGTACCGATCCCTGGGTCTGTGTCTGGTGGTTGCTGATCCGGAGCCGGAAACTAGACTGCAGCTGGTGAATAAGGTTTGGAAAGGAGTTGGGAAATTGTCTTCTGCGGAAGCGTACGTCTCTTGTGCCGAAGTTTGGATTCAGTTTGTCCTCAAGCACTTCTCGGTTGGTAACCTTGTTTCACTCTCATCAAAATACGGGTGGACTCTCTCTCCACAACGATTCTCTGTTCAACGATTTTTCTCTGTTCAACGATTTTTTCCCTAGTTCCATAAGGTTCTCTCCAACGAAATTCTCTCTGCAGCTAATTTTTTCCTAGTCCCTTGAATTTCGTATTAGAGTTAGTCCACCTGTATAACATATACCGCATAAATATTATGTGTCAGAGCTCCTTTTATTTCTACCATATTCCAAAAGATTTTTTGCTGAAAAATGAAAAGCTTCAAAAAATGTGTACATTATTTGAATTCGGACTTTCAGGCTCATGCCTATACTTCGCAGACCCCATTTCTGTATCATGTTTATTATTCCGCTCTAATTGTTTATTTACCTAGAAAGTTCGCGGAGCATCAGCAGAAACCCTTATGGGGCACTATGAAGCACAGATTGGTAACCTGTTCTATCATCCAACGATATTAAAACCTCCCAATTTCATAATCTTTGCCTGTTTCCAGACAAAGGAGGTAAACGCCTTTATTGGCAACGTCGTCAAACATGTGGCATTGGAGAAAGACCGTGAATCGATATATCCTAGTTTGCATTCCATTTTGGATAAAATTTTACTCAGCATCGTGGATTTCGCCGCTTTGTTTGCTATGGTAAGTGTTTTGGCGAGATTTAAATCAGGTATGATGAGTGGGATTTCGCGTATATATATTTTTCTCTTCGCGTTTTCAAGGATAAATTCTTACCTTTGTTGGACCTGTTTGAAAAAGAATCGGATAAGGTGGAAGCGTGCAAAATGATAATTGATGCCTATTTAAAAAGAGTAGATGCTGATTCAGAGCCATTGATGGATCCATTCATCATCGGTGCACTGATGAACATTTGCAGGACGATGCACAATTCGCTGAAGTGAGTTCTTTTTCTTTCTGAGAGCACGCATTCATTCCTGAAAAAAAATATATTTTACTTCAGTCAATTTGACCCTCGCGTATCTGTGCATGATTTGAGTGAGATTATTTTTTTTCTGAATTTCCCTCTCAACTTACCCTAAGCCGTTTTTTTAAGCACGATAAATGAAGCTCTGTTGAATAATTGAAAGATGGAATTCCTCAGTACATTCGTCGCATAAACCAAGTTTTTTTCAAATTTAGCTTCTCGGCTTATTTTATAATATCCTTCCTATTACGTTCTTTTTAGTGCGTTGAGTGTTGTGGATGAAAGGAGGAGAATCGGCAACTTGATCAACGGGTTTTTGCTGTCAGTTTCGTACGAGAAAGATTTTGAAGCGCAGCTGAATTTCTATGCAGATGCCCGGGCCGCATTCTCCATCTTGGATTCCGTCATGTCGTGTTTGGTGCAGGTACGGTAATTTGTTTACTTTTGGGTTTTATCTTTTACTCTATGAAAGGATAAGCTGCTTGTTTTTGTTTTCTTATTCGCGTCAGGTAAGTATGGTAACCTTGCAGCACTGTGCGTTGAAGTCCAAGTTTTTCTTTTTTCAAGCTACGGGAACATTTAAGACCCAACTTTTTAATGAGGGATGTAAATAGTCAAATCCCATCAAGGGTCACCCAGAATAACCGCCAATTTATTTTGAAAACCAAATCTGCCCTAATGATATTAGCGTTTGAAACTACGTTGAAACGCCCTCTGCCAAAAGTGACAACTCAGATATGCTCCATTGCTCTTGCCAATAAATTCTGTTTTCGATATCCCGCCAACACGATTCAAGTTTCTGTAAGAGGTCCCCTATTATAAGTCACTCCAAAGATGACGGGAATTACATTTTGGGACCATTAGCTGGATATAATGTATGCTTCGCAGGGTTATTTTTCTTGTTTTGTGTTAGAAAAATGATTTTATTTTCTATGCATAATTTTCATGTAATTTTAGCCTTTTTAATAAATCGCCGCAAACCTCACGAAGAAATCACAGCTTATTGAAGTTTGACTGTAATACAGTACGTTTCTAATTTTATAAATTATAACTATCATTTCATTTTTGATTCAATATTTTTCCTTTACAGTATACGTTTTTATTATTGTATAGAGGGTAAATACCTTAGCGATGGCGACGCTGGAAATCATGGAAGGTGTGCATTCCAAGAAAACTGGGTCATTCCTCAGAGCTTGTGTAGCCTTCTGCTTCATAACAATTCCGTCTATTGAATCAACGTTGACGAGGTTGGATTTGTATTCACTCACCGGACAAGTTGCTCTGGCCAATCAGTGCTGGGGGCAAGGTGAGATCATATCTTTTAATCTTCTGGGTTTATTTATTCTGAAACAAAAGCTTGACTTGCAAAGAAAAAGCTTTTTGTTGGCGAAGCGAGGAAGAACCGGAAGATCAACAATTTCCGGTCCAACCTGTCCTTCCTCCCTTTGCTTACAAAGAGCCCTTTTAGCTATGCGCGTCAAGCTTTTGTTTGATACGTTTCTAAAACTGCGAAATTGTCGGGGAAATTACGAATCTTGAGAAGTTGAATTTCGAACCAATATCGGTTTCGCTTTGTTCGTTATTTTAACTACCGGATTATGCATGTTCTTCTTGTTTTGCATCAAAGTTGCTGACACGTTCTCCCTTTTTGAAATGACCTCGGGAACTAGTTTTGAGAAAAAGACTGCGAGTTGTTCTTGAAAAAATTGAAGCCATTGTTGAGCCGTATTTTTTGCGTTCCATGATTATTTTGAAGCCAGATTTGAGCCACTGGAAATCGGCGTGATCAAAATGCTTGTGTTAGCTTTTTCTCACTGTTAGCTTTGTTCATTCGACTGTTCTTAACCTATTATGAATTTTGGGAATAAAGCGCTTGGAACCATTGCAAAAAATAACTTGAATAATTACTTATATTTGGAATTATTAGCTCTTGCAATTTTGGAGTCGAAAATTTGAACACTGGTTTACGCGAAATACTTCAAGAAATTCACGAAAACATCTGCGTGATCCGTTTCTGGAATGGGTTCTCGCCTTTTTTTTTTTTTTTTGCAGCGGAAGCCTGTTTTCAAGCAATTGTTGATGACTTGAAGCTGTTGCCAAAATGTATAGAGATTGATGGAAGAAAGGCTTCAACTGATCCTTGGTTTGAGCAGTTCGTTATGAACTTCGCATCAGCGCTTCTTTTGTTGCCTGTAAGTTCTGTCGATATTTTCTCTCGAATTATTTATTCTGAGTTGTTCTAATTTTTTTTTCAAGGATGCCTCGGATGAAGAACCGATGGTGGTACTAAAACGCTTGTTGGACATGTTGGATGCTCATCAATGGGAAAGGCAAACTGATGGATTATTCCGAGTGCAATTGGGCATTCTTCAGCTTCTGTCTGCGGCGACACAAGAAGTTTACATCCACCACATTGAAGGAGGTGCGCTAAATTCGAAATGTTGTCCTGGGCTTGCTCTTGAGATAATAGCCTCAATTTGGATCTTCGTAAAATTCTGGTTTCAATTCGTTTTCATAGTTGATTCCAATGACACTTTGTACGGAGGGCAGGGAACATTTCTGCAGGAAGTTGAAGACTTGGCATCTGGCTTATTGGAAGACTTGTTGGGGAAACTGAAGGAGTGCGAGGATCAGCAGGCTTATCAACGGCAGGTGAGTTCAGTCTAAACTTTATTCGCAACGACATTTCTCAGTTGAGCATTTTCAAGCATTTAACGAATGTCATGAACATCTTGAACAAGAAAGCGCAAGAATAATGAATTCATAAACTAACCTCTCGTTTTCAACATGCTGTGATTATTCTTTAGATGGATATGGGTGTAAGAATGCTGGATACTTTGACGCAGTTTGCCGATCTGAGGGAACCAGCTTTAGTGAAATTGGCTGTGAACTTGTGGAACCTGGTGCAGAGAAACGGCGGGGCTGTAGGTCAAAAGTTGCTTGTGAGTCGCGATTTGATTTAATTTCTACTGTACTCGTTGGCTTTGAATTCTTTACAAATTATTCAATTTATTACCGGTTCTATATTGCAGGTGCGAAGATTGGAAAGTTTGAAGAGAAGGAGTGAGTCTGGCTTCACGGATGACTCGGGAGTTGAAGGATTATATAGTTTGATCCCAAAACTTCAGTTTAAAAGTACCGTGTGATTCCAGATTGGCCATACATGCGAATGGAATTTAATTTAATTAGGCGCGGATTCCTACAATTACATACGAAGTACAGGTGGTACCTCGCAATTCGACCCTAATCCGTTGCCAAACTATAGGGTCGAATTGCGTGACAGTCTATAAAATCTAAGGGCAAACAGCACGAAAACACTAGAAGAAGAGGCTAGAACAGGTCAAATTTTGGGAAAGAGGTCGAATTGCGAGGCACAATCTGTATTACTAACACCCGAAGTAAGGTTAAATGTTGCTTGGATTAAATCCCGGGAAGTTGATTTGAGTAATCAGAAAATATTGGCCATTATTTTCTCAATCTTCATGTATGCAAATGTCGCTTATAGAATTTTATCCCCAAGGAAGCTTTGAACAATTTATATGTGATCAATACCATTCAATTGTGAAATTTCTTTCCGGATATCCTGAATAACATACTTTCTGAAATTTCAAACAGGTGTGTTTTTTATTTTATTTCAGTAGTCATTGACGTTTCCTCCTGAGTCAGAGGCTATTTTCCCAAAGCAGTTGAACCCCCGTCTCTAATTATTTTTTAATTATGTTTTCTTTCTTCATATGCAACTTGAAAACAATATCCCACATGGAGAAAAAAAAAACTTTAGCAGAGTCGTGTTACTTCAGGTGCAGCATTTGTTTATTTACTAACATCGTGATAAAATTAAATTCGAATTTTTATTTCTGAGTCATGAAAATGAAGCCGAGAAAATCTATCTTAATAGTCCCGCATTGATTTTTTAAATCCAAGCGTCCCTCAAGGTAATTATGGGAGTTATCGAAGCTGAAAAAAAAGCTTTTTAAGATTAGAGTTGAATAAATGAGTCGCTCCAGCTCCAGGAGTTCAACATTTTTTGCTTTTTCTCTTTTGCAAAGCACACAATTGCGTTCTGAGATTAGCTGAGGTGGCTTAGATTCCTTTTCTGCAGAGTGAGTCATCAAACCGTGCTTCCATTAGGGGAAAAAAACGCGTACACACGTAGATCATGGGGGGAAAAAACTTCGCTCAGGATTAGCAAGAAAAAGAGAGCAAGGATTCATAATTGCTGTCCTTCAGGTCTCCAGAGCAGCTCTTTGAAGTAAGCCAGTGTCACTATGCTCCCAGCATTCATCAACTTCTCCAAGTGAAACTTCTCCTCCGAAGCGATCCTCATCCTTTCTACTGTGCCTTCACCATCAACCTCGAACCAAGCCCCATCAAACCTGAAATAAACCATCGTCTCCTTCCCGCAACTAACAGTCACTGCATGAAGCTTGTAACGCGGACGAAACTCTTTCCGAGACGTGATTCCTGATAAGTCTAACGCGAGTGGAAACGGAGGGAATACGAAGTCTTCTTCTTCTTCCTTCACCTTTTCAAACAAAAGCAAGTCCGGGAAACTGGTGACGAGTTTGCGTTTGAAAAGGTTGCCCTTGTGGATGCACCGGGTCCAGTGTTCGCCGCGAACTTTGCTGGGTTCGGATTGCTTCTTCAAGCAGCTGAGAAGCGTGTAGCGTCGCGTCAAGTTGCCCAAAAAGGATTTGCTGACTGGGAATGCGCAGAATAACTTTTCTTCTTCAGTGATGAAAGCGTCGCAGGACTTGCATTCGATCACTGTGGCGACTCGGAGGCCGAAAAGCTGCTGCACCACTTTGCTCTTGAGACCGGATTTCTCTTTGAGTTTATGAGAAAGATTGCCCAAGATGGCGTCCCAAGTTAAGGAGGGTTCTTCGAGGTTCAAGACCTGAGTCGCTGTCGTCGTGTCGAAGCTGGTTCCTTGTCGTGATTTCAGGTGAGCAGAACACAATGCGTTCAAGGAAATTCCAACGTTCGTCACGGCTTCTTCGACGGAGTATTTTTTAAGGATTTCAACAATGCTTGGGATGCTGAGAATGCCCAACAGAGTCAAGACTTTTTCTCGCGCCAAATCTGGTATGAAGATTTGAAGAGATTCCGGGTTTTTTGAAAGCTTCTTCAAGAGAATTGCGGCATCTTTTATTTGCGGTTCAGAAATTTGTTCAGTTGAGGTGCAGTTTTCAACGCTGGTTAGTGTGGCGTCTGATTTTCTCTGGGATGCGTCACCATCAATAGACAGTCTAGGAAGAGATAAACAATTTTTATTATAATTATACTACTGTATGTACAGTATATTATATCATATTTTAGTACCAAAATAATATTCACCTGTAGTTCATGACGTTTGTCTTATGAAAAATTTGTTACGTGAAGCGCAACTAAAAAAGTTCGGACTTCAAAAATTACTGTATCAGGAAAAATCAAGACTGTATCCCGAAATTGGACCAGTTGAAGAACAATCATTTAGTTTTTGACAACTGATCTGTTATTTATGACTGAAATAATCATGTCAATGATCTTTTGTATTTTATAGTCTATGAGCTGGCGTATTTACTTGAGTACAATGCACCCTTGTATCTAAGACAGGCACCCCAATTTGTTACCCTACAATTTTGATGAAATTCTATCCCCAAAGAAGATGTACATCTCCTTTTTAATGACTGAAAAACCATATTTCAAATTTGAATATGAATTTAACCTGATTCCAATTAATTTGTAATTGTTCTGATTTGAAAGGAGTTACTCTTTAAATATTCACAATATATTAAAATGTGACGCGTACCTAAACTTCGAAAATTTGAAAATTGTATCCCCATCCATGACACGAAAACCCCCGTAATTTTTTAGAAGAAAAGCGGGGATGGTACTTGAATAAATACGGTATTTTGAAATTCTTGCGCTGACCAGAAATAATGATTATAAAATTTTGGTATAAGTGTCCCTGATTGAGCTAAAGATTACAACAGCTAGTTAGATTTTGTCATGAATGTTCTAGATTCAAATTTTGAGCTGCTATCAGACATCGTAGAAAATCAGATGGATCTTAATTTTTAAAAATTTTGTTCCAAGAAAAAAAGGTCTTTTTGTAAAAATTATGTGCAGTGCAGTATTGGATCAAGTGAAGAGTACATGTGTTTCAGAAGAATGAAAACCCACGTGTCGGTGGCGCGTGAGAAACTCGACTGCAGCGGCACTTCTCCTCCCGAACAACCGCCGTCAACGCTGTGGTCAGCCTTGACGGACGCCACTGCCTTCGACGACGAAGGGGCGGATTGGGTCGCATGTCTGCGAAAATTAGTCACCGGCGCCGACCGCCGCTTGGGCAGTGCCGTCGACCGCTTCCTTAACACCGTCGCGTCCATGTTGGTGACAAAGTAGCCCTGGGGGCGCCGGTCTGCCCAATCGGCGGTGATCCCACAGAAGGGCTCGTTGTGCCCGACGAACTTGGAAATGGCGTCGGGTTCGGCACGCGGAAGCGTCGCTGTGTCGCCTGCGTCTTCACCTGCCGGCGCCCTTTCATTGGGGTACCACTCGAGAGAGCTGGGATCGGATGACTCCCTGGACTTGGGATCTCGCGCGGGATATTCGTTCTATGCGGGCCAAAGGGGAGGTGGGTTAAAAATTCATCTTTTTTTTTTTTCTTGCCTGTTTCGACTCTTTACGGACCAGGCCAAGCACAGGCTTGAATACCATCAGTACAGGTGCCTCTCCTAACGAACTTCAAGAAATCTTAGATACATTAATTTCCGAGCGAATTTCGTGCCTCGATTTGGCAGCGAGGTTTTCTCTTTAGAAAAATGTTATCTCCCCCAAATGATTGTTGGTTCTTTGTTCTTCTGGGAATTATGTTCAATATTTTGGACTCAGCCAAAAAAGCAAAAAGAGGAAGACTTCTGTTTAAACAAATGCATTTACTCTGAATTCAACTGAACAAAATTATCAGAAGGAAGTTCAATAAAAAGAGTCTCACAATGATTTATAAAAATTACTTGTGGTCAGTTCAAACATAATTTGCTTGAAATTTAGGCAAATTTTTGGATTCAATGCAGTTGAACCTTGATAAGTCAAACCTCCCTACAGTTAAATTTTTTAAAGTCCCTGTCTGAATACCTTCAGAATCAATGCATCAAGAACCTCCCTAACTCAAAAGTCTTTTTTTCTAAAACCTCTGTGAGTCAAATTTTTGGAGGCTCTTTTGGTTATCATTTCCTTGAAATATAGAAAGGAAATCAATAAGACAAATGATTTGATGCATCTTGGAAGGGAGTGAAAGACTAATAGAGAGAATGAACCCCTGCCTCCATGTTCAGCAAGGTGTAAACTTAGTAAGAAGCAAGTTCAGGCCCAGGGTATCCTCATTTACCATATCCTTCAATTTTTTACATCTCCTCCCAACAAAAATGTTTGTTTCCTTAATTGGAAACTTCCAAAAATCAAACCCTTCCTACGTCAAAGCCTCTTTAAGTCACATTTTTTTCCTGGTCGCTAGAAATTCAACTTGGAGAGGTTCAACTGTATTTTACTTTCAGCAACAAATGACTCTTGAGGGAAAACCTGCCTCACTAATACTATCAACTGACTATTGGTGATGGTTCATTTTTCGTTTTTATGAAATTCTCATTTCGGTTTCCGAATTAAATATAAAAGGCAAACCTTTTTCACCGAGCAAAAATTTTTCCTAAGAAATTTGGTGTGGGGACAGATCCAAGTTTGTTGGGTAAGGCACCACTAAAATTTTAATTAACTCAAATTTAAATGATGAAGGCATATTTGATCCCTGTAGCCCCAGAATGACTCAGATTTTTAGCACACTTAATCAAAGCCAGGTTCCATGTTTGCTCAAGAGTTTTCTGAATTTCACCAGTGCAAAAATATTTTAGGCAAGTTTTTTGTTGCTGAAAATTGTTTGAATTCCTCCGTTTTTTACTAGAATTTCCTGATACTTTCTCGCAAAGAGCGATGTACAGCTAAGACTTAATGAATGACCGAGTCACTTTAGAAAAGAAACATGAAAGGGCAGGTGTTTCTCATCACGAAGACAAATGACCATCGCATCTTGACGAAAATGGGGGTTTTTTTCTTCTCGGAATCGCCTTGCTCATGTTCAGAGTACGGTAATGTACATTAATATACAGCTTTATTTTTAAAGGGTGTATGTTCGAATAACTCACCTCGGATCTGCTTTTCTCGACTTCGTCTTCCCCGGGATCGAAGAAAGCCGAGTAAGCGAAGACGGCAAATCCGAAAGTAATTGCGGATCCGAACGCAACTAAAACCCCGTGAAGTAAGCAAGAATTTGGGCGTTGTGAAAGAAATGCGCCGAGTTCGTTGTTCACCGACATGATGCATCTGGTGAGCAGAGATCTTCCTTCCAGAGAATTTGCAGGGTATGATAGACAGAAGGTATCATTCATAGGAAAAAAAAGGGGGATGGAGAACGGAATCGCGAGAGAAGAGTTTTACATTATTCATATTTTTTACTGTCTCATTAATACTTGGTTCTGTTCTCGTTCTCGATGAACTGACCTTTAATGGATTCGTCGTCTGTGTTATTCATGAGCATGCAGGGATTTTTTTCCTCATTTCTGTGGTTTATACTGACTTTAACAAGTCTAGACTGAAGTGCATTACAGTATTATAAAACTTCATTAAAATGAAAATGAGTATGTAATTCTGTTTCTTTGCGCGATGCGGCTTTCATTGGCTTATACAAGTTGAACCGCATGCACGTTGGAAATATTCTGATCGCCTAAACACAAGTTTCTTCAAATTTTCTCGTGAAGAAATATTGAATCCAGGGTAAAGTGGAAATTTGATTCAATGGTTTTCACTTTTCCTGATTATTTTTGCTGTTGAATAAGAACTGTATTTTGAAATGTCGCATAGGAATAGGAAATCTGGGAATATTGCGAAGTTAAAAACTTCAATACAGGTACTGTATTTCAAAAGTCAAATCTATGACTGCTGATTGCCAAGATTTGCGTTGTATAAAGGCAACTTACAATATCGATTTGAATTTCTTCGAAATAATTTGACTGTCCGTATGTTCTGAGTCAATTTCTTGATAAATACGGTACCTGAAGTAAAACTCTGGGCTTCAACGCAATATTAAATCTCTTAAATTGAATTTCGGACGAAGATTTTTTTTCGCAGTCTTCCTAACGGTATGATCAAAATTTTTGAATTCCGCATGTCGCAGCATTCCTTTTTGCACTGGCGTATATATTTCTGTTTAAGGTTTGAAGGTGAAATATTCTGGTTGGAAATATGACGCAGGAAAATGATGGGCATGTTGTCTCACGATGATATGCAAGGTCACATCATGTTATTTTTGTTGTTTTTTTGCATTTCAGCGAGTCCGAACAGAGAATCTTCGTATTCTATTGGCGCGAGTGCAAGTCTGTGACGGATAGCTGAAAAAATCGAAAAAGTCCTTGAATTAAATAAAAACGTGTGCTGCCGTATTTTGAATAATAAGACATCATTTTGTTGGTTGTGAAGTGATTTCAGTGAAAATTTCCTTGAAACATAAAGTCATTTGTACCAGGAAAAAGCTGTTTTGTAAAAAATTCAATAGCGTTGTTCTTATTGGGCTGAGACGTTTACACGGATTTTTTGTAAGTACTGTACAAAGCTTCAATTCTTTATACTGTATCAAGATTTGTTGTAACAAGATTATGGTATAGTTCTTGAATTGGGAAAGGTGTTTTTACTGAACATTGCCAATGCTATTCCTTTGTTTCATTTTGCATAACTTAGAATGGTGCTCTTTAATTGATGTTACAGTACAGTGAGACCCCAAGATATGGACATAATTGGTGCATCAAGTGTGTCCCTAAGTTGAGTCCTGTTTTCCAGTAAACTTACATTATATACATTTTAATTGGTGTTTTTATGGAAGAAATGTTCATCAGAATTAGACGAAGAAATTGTCTGCTAGTTGAAATTGATTCAGTGATTATCTTTCAACTTAACAAGAACATTTGGAGCTTTGAATACTTCACCTCTGTTCAGTAAATTGAAATTTTGGCAACTGTGAAAATGGCATTCAAGTCACAAATAGAGAAGGAAGTCCCTGTATGCTGGAGGTAATTTTTTTTATTAGCTGAATGAGTGAGAAAATGATGGGAAAATTATCCAAGAACATTTCGGAAATATCTGTTTTGTACAATTAAGCCTGGTAAGAGTAATTTTTCCTGAAACTTATTGGTGAGTTTATCATGCAATGTCCTCATGTCAAGTCAGTGTCCATATGTTGAGCCTTTTTCCTGCATTTTTTATTGGTAAATAAATGTCCCTATCTCAAATTGTCCTCATGTGAAGGAGTCTGCGCATGTGGGGGGGGGGGGGGGGGTCTTGCTGTATTTTCATTAGAGTGAAGTACAGTTCTGAAAATTTACAGCATTAATCACTATATTAACCCCAAGCAGCATCAATCGCGTTCTTCCAATGATCAGCATTTTCAACGTTGAAATAAAAAATAATCAAGTAGAATAGTCTTGTTACAATAAATCTTGTTACAGCATAACAAATTCTTGTTCTCAACAAATTATTGATACTTGCATCCATTCAAAATCCCCTCATTTTTTTTGGAATCTGAATCCAACAAAATTTTCATCATATTAAACATTATTCATTCAAACCAGAGTTTATTTTCGAATTTCCCGATGGATTTGCTGCAACAATATTTCTTGAAGTATAACTGTATTTTACATTAATCAGGAATTCTGTGTTGATTCAAAATCTGACTCATGCTTCTATATCATGTTTCTGTGGCAAGAAAAAAAATGATCCTCCCGATTTTCGTCTGCAATTTCTCTCTGTGAGTTCATTTTTCTCCGTGATCCAACGGAAGGGATGAAGGAAAGGCGCGATTTACGAGTCTCGATTTCCTTTCCCGTTCCGAATGATAAGACTCTCTGTTTTCCCTCCGCGATATCAGACTCCTTTATGCGTGTTGGCAGCGAAGGAAAGAAAGAGATACAGTATTTCATTTCGGCCGTTTCATCTGCCAAGTTGAGAAAAGCAGACGTGCAGTATTTCCTCTTTTCTGTGTTGACACGCTTTAGAATTGTGTCGTGGTTGGAAGTGCACTCAGGTGTCAGGCGAATCTACTGTTCTGTGCAATACCGAAAGGAAGAAAGAAAGAAAATGCGTCATTGAAGTGATGTGTGGTACTGAGGCTGTTGCTTGAAACTTTTCCTACTTCTGTGTGCACTAGGCAGTGAGTGCTATGATAACAAACAGCGAGGAGTTCAGCTACGATTATCTCTTGAAGGTGCGTTCATTTATGTGTGTGTGTATATACCAATCTATGCACATATTTCACGTATGTGCACATCTATTTGATACGTTTCCATAGTTGATGTCTCCATCAGTGTATTTAATTACGGTTCATCACTGTATTTAATGCATGCCCCATCATTCTATCCATCTAATTTTATTCATGCTTGAACGCCTTTTTTATTTGTGACTTATACACAGTATTTAATACATGTACAGTATGATATAAATGTACTGTATAGCCATGTGTTTAATTCATGTCTATCCATATATTTATTTATTTTTATCTACCTTTTTATTTATGTTGGTCCATCTATTTAATTCATGTCAGACTTGTCAGTACATATTTTTATTTACGCATAAAAAAGTAATAAAGAATTTTCCACTTCATAATCAGTTTAATACTTCATATAATCAGCTTTCTATATTCGATTATTCTGGATCTGCGACTCAGAGATCCACATGAAGATCAGGAAAAATAAACTTAATTGGTATTTGACGGAATCTTCACGTTTAGGAGGTTCTCCCACACTACAGTGCTTATGCTGTGTTTCAAGTGTTGGTCCATTTATTTTATATCACATACACACACAAACATATGCATGTGAATAAATCCATATAAAGTAATGCATATGAGTCTGTGTCCGCATGTATGGTGTTTTCTTGAGGAAATACAGCAGCTGTTGCACTAATTTTTCTCACGGAAATGTTTGGCAAACGACGAATAATTTACAAAAGATGTCCTGAAATTATGGTAGGATTTATTGCAGTTCATCAGGTCATAGTTCCAGGAAACACAAAGTGTAAGTGGCTATTTAATCCACGAGTGTCAATACTTGTACATTTGTATTCCATGTCTATCTAATCCCCTGTCTATCTCGGTACATTTTTTTTTTGTTACTTCGTCTCTCTATTCAATTCCCATGCCAACAGAGAAACTATTTAATTTTAACTTTGAATCTCACATTGCTCGAGCTGCATGCTGATATTCAACTTTTGCTTTGGTCATAATTTGAATTTTTTTAAAGAAAGGTTGAATTGTTGACAGGTGGTCAAGATCCAGTTCAATTTGGTGAGACGCAGATTATTGGCTCATTTCCGCCAAGAATGGGCAAAGAAGAATGTGATCTGCTGGCTGGTGTTTCTAGTGTGCTACTCCTTATTCCCGGTGTGGAGTCCATCTGGTTTATTTTTCTACTTCGGTCTCGTTGCTGGAATCCCGGCCCTGATTTTTGGTCCAGTTTTCTCGGGATTACTGTTCATGAGGATTGCAATTTATGGATTCCCAGGAGATACTTCAGTTGCACTTTGCGCTGATGTTGGCAAATTACCAAAGCTCAGAGTGAGAGTTTTTACCAGAGGATTGGAAGAAGGTCTTGTGAGCAGGATGATGATGCACAACATTGGAGTGTTCAAGGATATTGGGTAAGGCATTTTATGATTACTGTGCATTTATGTGGTCAGCTTCGGTTTTAATTAACATGAAGTTGTTGTTTAAAAAAGAATTGGTTCACAATTTTTTATGCTGAAGATTGTAACTACTTTTTTCTTTCAAGATAGCGTAATATGATTTGTTTAAAAAAAAGAACATACAGTATTCACTATCATGCTTTTTCAGTAGGATTAGTGCTTTATTATGCATATATTGCATTAGATTATGCACAGTACACATTTTCAGTAAAATATTTACAATTCAAGGTTTAGAAGAGCTAAAATTATTTTAATTTACCTTCAAGTAAAGATAAGTACATTCCCATTTTGTTTGCAATTTACTTGTAATTTAATACAAGGATAATGCGCACACGGATTTTGGACATTTTGCAGGGGAAAGCTTATTGTACTCAAGTATGACATACTCCCATTTGTACAAGTGTCCCTTATAAGTTTTTTAGTGGCTAGTGGATTCCATTACCTGCATTGTCTGGGAATGAGAATAATTACCTACTTTTTAAAACTCTGCAAATTAAGTAGCATTTTTTTAAACTTCAGGAGAAATATCTTTCCTTTATTTTCATCACTGTTTCCTGCAATCAGCTCTACTGAGATCAAATGAGACCTTTTTTGGCAACTTAAGTAGCCTTTAAAAATGGCAATTTGGACCTGTGTACTAACCAATGTGCAGAAAAATGTCCTGCAACTAAATGAAAAACTTCACAAAAAACTTGAGCTTGTCAAAACTAAATTTGTTTTGCAGGGATTTTTAAGAGTGAACTCTTTGTCTTATACCATGTAGATAAAGCATGATGTATGTGTGTGTCTTCATTTTGTAGTTTCAACAACTATGACTACATTGTAGTTTCAAATGTTGCACCAGTCAACTTGCCCATGGTACCAGATGTCTCCACCGGCAACTTATTTGTTTCCCAGAGCTACCAAACCAAGACTAATGCCATGTACAAGGCAAGGTCAATGCAGTTTTGTCTGGATGAGGAAAGAGACACTTGTCCTGACTCTGACTACATGCTTGTGCTGGATGAAGATGTGCAACTCACACCAAGCAGTGTTCGGGGTGTGTTGAATTTCATGCATCACGGGTTTGAGATCGGAGATGGGATCTACTCTTCACTCGGGGCCCAACAATGGGCTCTTCAAGACGACCAAAGGTTGCCTGCGATTATATTCGAAACTCAGCGCTGTGCCACTTTGCTCATAGCAGAGCTTTTCAAAAAACTTGGCATCAGGCAGAGTTTTGCTGCCTTCGGGGGCTTTTTGATTTTAAAGGTAAAATCAGTAATCGTGGATGATCTTTCTATTCTTAATTTTACAATTACCGTGATCCCTTCGTGATTCTTTTTCACAGATCAAAACGGCCAGAGAGCTGGGTTTTGATTGCGGAGAAACGTTGGGGATCGCAGAGGACTTGCATTTGATGTTGAGAGCCCTTTCTGCAGGTTACACCATCAGACACGTCGACGGATTTGTTAAAATCAAAAGTACAACGAACATCCAAGGAGTTGTTGACCAAAGAAGACGCTTTGCCATGGGTTACTTTCTTCACTGCTTCTCTGGTAACAAAGTATGTACCATTAATTATTTTCAGACTCTTTCCTAAAACATAACCATGGACAAAAAAAATCATCTTGGGGAAATTTTGTAGTAAATAAAAGGAGAAAAGGTGAAAAGAAATAACCGGTTCACGGGAGCGAGGAAATTTTTTTGTTCAGATGATTCAGTTCTTGTATAAGTGGAAGCATAAATTTCCACCAAAAAATGAAAAAAAAAACAGTACAGTGAAAATTTACTTTGTGAGTATAGAGGACAGAAGCAAAAAATTTCGACAAATGAAATGAACTTCCAAGACAAATGATTCTAGACCTGAGAAACGTCATGTCAGGTCGTTGTTGAATAATTCCTTTTAACTTCCGATTAGGCGTGATATTGAATTTTCTGAAGACTATTGTACTCCATCAATAGGCCAGAATAATTTAGATTTAATCATAAACTAACATCATGACTGACTATCACAAACAGCGAAGAATGCTATGATATTATTGTACACGTAAATATTGAGAGGTTCACTTGTATTCAAAATAGTTGATTTCATTACACCAAATTGTTTCTCTTTTGCAGGTGAGCATGGAATTCAAGAGATTCACTGCCATCTACTTTTGGTCAACCTGGTTGTATCCTGTCCTATTCATGATGAATGTGTGTGCTTTTCATGACAAGATTTGGCCGTTTGTTGTAACTTGTTTGATCTCGGAAGCCTTGGCAACGTTCTGTACTTTGAAAATCGCTAGCAACGCTGAGGGTCTAATGGGGAAGGAATTTTTACCACAGCTCCTCTTATCCATGTATGCCACACCAATGCGGTATTGGTATGGTATGGCATTGCCAGGTTTGTCTGCGACGAAAGGATTCCTCTTCAACAACAATCTTGCTGAATGGAAAGCCAGGCCAAAGGGTTGATGAATTCTCACTGGTTTCGTTCCGTAAAATTTTTTTTTTGGCATTCGTAAATGCAAAAAGAAACTGCACAATTTTTATGCACTCTAATTTTTTATATCATCAATCGCCAAGCGTATAAAATATTCATAAGCTCTTTTTCGCGAAATTTTAAAATATTTTTCTTAATATTTATTCAAAAACAATTAAAGCTCAAACAACGACACAAAAAATATCACGGATTAGGATGTCGTAGATGCAGAAGCATCTGAAGAATTCTTATGCATCCTCGCGATATGATTATTGAGGTTCGAAGGATACGCAGACGCATACGGACAAATCTGACACAAGTACTTTTTCTGATTATGTGCAGATTCGTGACGTTTGTACGAGTTCTTGTTGTGGAATTTTTTCCCGCAAATCTGACACGTGAACTCTTTCAAATGCGGCAGCGTAACTCCATGCGCCTGCAAAGGCAAATATTTTTATCAGTTCAAAGATTTTTTATTTGTCATTTTGAGGAAATGTTTCTGATGGTACTGCAGTAGAGGACTGACACTGTTTGTACTCAAGGAAATTCAACAAATCAAAGCAGTTAAGGTTCACAACAAGAACAGCTTGAAAAGAGACAATTAATTTTCACGTGATAAGCTACTAAAATTCATTGTCATGTGAACTTATTCATTGCAATCCTCAACAAATTAATGGGATACTTGCTGCTAGCATTTGTCTCTCCTTGTGTGATGGTGAGATTTCTCATGACTTTTTTCTCTGGAAGACATCAAGTGTCCGAATCCCAAGACGCATGAGATACCTCTTATGCATTTAAAAGGGTTTCCGATTTTTTTTTTATCCGATCAAAGAAGTTGAAACTCACCTCGAACATGTGGGCCACGAAACATTCCCGTCGATTGCTCTACAAGAAAATAATCATGGAAAAATGGGATTCAAATATTGAACGAGTCCGGTTCCAGAAATCCGCTCTTCAAGAATTACGTGGGAATTACCAAGTTTAACTTTCATCTGCTTTATTTCGGAATTTACTGGTGTTTGAAAATAGGCAAAACCTTTCCTGGCCCAACTCAAACGGAACCCCAATAATAAATTGTGCAGCAATAAAAAATAAATAAAATTTCGAGGCAAACTCACCGATTTCCCACAAATGTTGCACACCCTAGGGACTTCCGGACGAGGCTGCACCTGTCCAATTCCGTGGACTGACGCGTAATGATTTCTTATGAGCCGTTTGTGTGAATATTTCACATTCTCGCAATGTTCACATCGGTACACTCGCTTGGCCGCGTGTTTATTCAACACGTGCCTCTTCAACTTGTACGCCGGCACGGTCACACCACATTGATCGCAGATGCGCATTTCAACGTTTTCTTCCAAGCTCTGGACAAAAAATAATTATTTTTTGAAGAAAAATAAATTATTTTCACGGAAAATGCATTGCACAATAATTTAAATTTCATCTTGACGCCAACACCGACGAAGAATCTCAAATTTCGAAGGAAAAGCATTTTTGCATCGAACTAAGTCGTTATGATGAGTTTCAAATAATATTGTGTGCACACTGAAGGGATCTAAAACATCAATTCGCTCTAGGGAATACTCTGCTGTTGCGAAATTAAACATTAGCTTCACTTGTTCTCGATATAACGGTTTGAAAGGTGTTTTTTCTTGGTCCAACCAGGATGAGGATTAAGGTATTTTATGTCATTTGCTGAACTAAAAGTGTTTCTACATTAACCTTCAGTTGATATGCGTGAGATTAAATCAACTACCACGGGTCCAGAGATGTGAAATGTTGGAGCGAACAGAAGTTCAGAACTTTCGCTTTCTGAAATTGTTTGCTTTGAATTGGCATCTCCAGCATAACTTCCAAGGGTCATAATTTCTTCCGATTTTCTTCTAAATACAGTATTTGTTGTACGGGAAGCTGCGACAAAAATGTTAAGAAATTTTCGTAATTATTTTTGTAAGAATACCCCAGTTCATCACTCACCTTGAGATGGCATTTATATCCCGAGGCGGAAAAGAACTCTTTGTCGCAATGGGAACACTGGTACATGGACGTTTTCAAGTGGACCTACGGAAGAAACGTGACATTTTTGTGAGGATTTTAAAAATAAATTCACATTTTTACAACAAAACAAAATAATTGTCACCTTTAAAGTATGTGTGTTCTTCGCGGACTCGGACCGAAACGTATCTTCGCAATGCTCACAGGAATACGCCGAAGACTCGGCGTGAGCAGTCTTCATGTGATACCGGAGACTGCTGCTGTAATTAGACACGTGTGAACACTGAGGGCATTTCCTCTGCTTAATCCTTCTCGGCTTCGTCTTGACGACACTCTCTGCTCGTTCCGGTGATTCCAGAGACACGATCTGATTGGCTTTCGGTGCAGGCACAACTTCCGCCCAATGTGAAAACATGTGCTTCTGATATGTTTTGTCTTCGTATTCGGCCTTCGAAAATTTCTGATCACACGCAGGACACGGCCAGATGTTCTGAAGCACATTCGACACGGGCTCTGTGTTCGCAGCAGCTGCTGGTTCTTCCAAGGTGAATGGTATGGAAAAATTAGCTGAACACAGGGAATCGTCCAAAATGTCCGACGATAAGACGTCAGTCTCCTGCAAAATTTACAGGAATTACGAACACGACGCAAAAAGGCTTTTCCTTCATTTGATGCGCGACTCACCAGGGAATGCAAGAGTGAATTGTCCGGAGATTCGGCGTCCACTCCAGTCAACAGGTCGAATTCTTCCTGGCGAAAAATTGATCAAGTTCTATTATTATTATTATTATTATTGGCTTCAGTTTTCACTTCAATTCGATTCCTCATAAAATAAAAAGGTGAAAAAAAAACTCTGACTTACGCTTCCAACAATGGAATCCACGAACTCCAACGCGGCGGCATCCTCGGAGATTTTCAAATCCAGCGACTCGTCCATCAGTTCTTCTTTGACTAGCCCACTCGACACTTCGATCATCTCGACGCCATCTTTGAAAATCACGGAACCATCATCCTGTTGCTTCGCCCTGCCAGCAGCAGCCCGCTTCAACTGCTTCAAGCTCTCGACTGTCTTGTTGAACATATCCTCGTACCAACTGCCCACAGACGCCTTCGCCATGCAGGACGCGCAAAGGCAGCCAAAGTCACAGACATCTTCGGCAACGAGGATCCCCGTGTTGACCAAGAACATGCCTAAAAGTTGTTCCCCACGCTTCAATGCCGCACCGATCGATCGATTCCGAGTTTTTGAGCACAAAACGCCGCAAACTAGGCAATTCACTGGGCTGCGCTGCGAAGCGACTGACCTCTCGTTATCCATCACAAAATCGATCTACGAAGAATAAAATTGTTTTTACGCGATGATTTTACACAGGGAGTTTGTGTGAATGATCACTCATTGAAATAATCCATGCGTCACAACTATCTCGAAAATGGCTCAATAAATCAATAAAAAATGTACAAGTGACGTCAGTCATCTACTTCTTTCGTCGGATGAATACAAACAGGACGTGATTCATACGGAGAAATTTTTGAAAATTTCCTGAGCTTTTTTTTTACAATTTTTGCTCTTCGAGGCTAAAATGACGAATTTGACAGTGCGCCACAGAAGAACGTTCGACAGCCATATTTTAATCTTCACAATTCGCAGGAAGGCCGAGTGACACAAAATTATGCAAAAATCTTACGAGAGATTTCGAGGGTCGCAATGGAAGAAAATCCTGAGCAAGTAAACAGAGGGTGGCACCAAATATTTCTACTGATTACGTAACGGTTCGCAGGATTCGGATCAAGAAACGTCGGTACCTAACTCAAATTTGAGGTTCTTTTCAGAGGCAAAACTTTAGAGCCATCCCTTATACCGAGAAAAATACGCGAGAAAACAATTCACACATAAGTTCAAAAATTTTCATCACGAGTATTCAACAAACTCTTCTTCACACGACGAATGCTGCAAACTGGCGGAATCGACCAAGGAAACTTCGAAATCAACACTTTTCTTTCTTTTCGTCATGTTTTCTCACATGTTGCATCGAACGCTTATTGTAAAGACATTTCTTTCCGCACGTATTACACATCAAAACCATTTTCTTGGACCCAAATGACATTTCAGAACGCTTCATCGATTCTTTCTGAAATGAATCTCACCACGATTGGGACGATTGTAATTCATCTTCGATTTGGCTTTGAGAAAATATCGCTCCGTGCGCTCTTCAGACCGGATTGTTTCAACGTAAGAACCGGATAAAATCCCGTCGAACTCCACAGGATTGGATTGACTTTCCACTTGGGAATAAACCACCCTCGTCTTCACCGTCTTCGTAGGCCGTAAGCAGGAAGCCAGGTTCACGTCATCCAAAGAATTGACACCGGAACAAACATGTTTCTTCCCCATCCATTCGCGCCAAGTTCCGCGTCCGCATTTGACGCAACGAAGCTCTTTGACTCCGGGATGCGCAGAGCGGAAATGCTTTTTGAATTTGCTCGCTGTAGACGTGGAGAATTTTCCGCAAGCGATACATGAGAACTTCCGAGCTTTCTTCTGTTTCTTGCGAGCCTTTTTGCGTTCCTTTGACACACTTACGTCATCCACAGAATCGGCAATGGAGGACATGGAGAAGCGGTCAAGGTTGATGCTTTGGGACGCGGAATTGGATCCGACAGTTTCTCCGAGGGAGGATTTAAGTTCAAGTTCATCCTGTACGAGTTCATCTAAATTCTCCTGCACGAAGAAACAAGAAACCCAGGAATGAAATTTAAAGAAGAAGAACAAAATCGTGAATTAATTTTTAATAAACAGTTTCCCCCCTTACCTCCACTTTTGGCTCGCCGAGGCTTTCAGGGAAGTCCGATAAATTCAGCTTCTGAAAGTCATCGCCGAAATCATAGGTCACGCCTTCCAATCCTGAAAAAAATATTCAAGCCTACATTTTAAAAATACAATGAATTGAACTGAAGGATTCGGTTGTTGCGGGGTTACAGGAATGCATGATATTTATCCAACGATATTCTTTAAAGTACTTTTCAAGTTCACGAATCCCATGTTTTTCAAGTACGGTACACTAAATTTTTTCCTCTTTCGCTTTCAAATTCCATGGCGCTCCTCCGCTAAGAAATTAGATTCCGAAAAATTGGACTCAACATAGCAATCCACAAAAAGAAAAAAAATATACCTTATATATAAAAATGACTTCTAGGAAATCCGAGGATCTTGCCATTGTTCAACAGAAAAATAAAATGTTGAGGAGACCGGATTGAAAAAAAGTCCACTTGCGATGAGATTACTGTATAATCACCAACCGCAGGTGAATAAATCCACGCGAATCAAGATTACAAATAACAAAATATTAAAAAAGCAAGAGGTCGGACTGCACGTAGACATCACGACCCCGACACATCGCTCGTCGTATTCCAATCATAATACTGTACGAAGAAATTCATATAATTTAGTCAAGTATCGGAGAACCTTTATTCAGCGTCAACTATTCTCCGATTATTTTCAAAGGAAGTCCAAATAAAAAAAAAATTCTACTGCGAAAAAATAAAAAATAAGACTATGCGCGGAAATAAGACACATCTAGCCTTGAACTTCTGTTTTTTGGGATAATTGTAGACGGGAATATGAAACTTCCGAACTCTTGAAAAACATGTAGCAAATATTCCAACTGACCAGAATCAAGCCGCTTTTTGAGTTCATTGCACTGACGTTCGAATTTCCGCTTGAAAGAAAAGGCCTTCTCGATGATATCCGAACAGCGACCACAGGTGAACCCTCGATTCTCATCCAGGTCAATCGCGCATCCAAAAGGAATTGACAAAGACAATAAGAAGTCTTTCACAGTCAAATCGCGGGACGATTTCAATACCGAATGAACCGACAATTTCCTTGCCGCATCTTTCCCACATATGTAACAAATTGCATCATTTCTAGATGCAGGCACTTGATTCACCATTATTTCGGAGAGTACTTCCTGTAAATAAGATTTTAAAAACCAGGAATAATGGGATACATTTTCTCAATAATTGCACAAATATCCCAAAATACCATATCTTTTCAAAGTTTACCGAATGTTAAATAAAAGTGAAGTTTTCGTGACTATTAATAACACTGGGTCAATGGGGATCACTTGGCAGTCGGCATTCACGATCACAAATCCTTCTCAAATTTCAAATCACACTTGGGATGGGAAGATAGAAAAATAATACATGCCGACATACAGGAAGGAACTGCGGAAAATTTTTGCGAAGGCGCCAATAACTCATTTTCGAGAACCACAACGTAATAGCAATACATGCACATGCATCGTCATAACTAAATAAAACGATTCGAAAGTACTGCCCACAAGAACGCTACAACAATTTAAAAAAAAACTATCAATTCTGTAATCCGAAACACATTCGAGACAAACAAGATTTTTTCAAAACAAGACACTGTATCAGCAGTGAAAAATCAGAAAATGCTTCCCTAACAACATAAGCAAAAAAGCAAGGAATGATGAAAGGGATAATCCGAAGTTCCAACAAAAAATATGTACAGTACAGTTTTCACAAAGAAGAGCAAAACCATTTAAACATCCATAATATGTCTACACATTTTTGAAAAATTACGACTTCTGAATTGAAAGAATTGTAAACTTACCACCGGGTCACGTTTCATAGGAACACAGAAAATTAATTACAAATGTGAAATTAAATTGCTTCGGGGAATGGGAGCCGACTGAAATACTTGATCCAGTGGATGACTCGTTTTCTATTGTCAGAGGGCTCGTTGTTCAGCATGTTGTGCACGCAGCCGATCCAAACCCTCATCATCCTTATCAAAGACTCACCAAAGCTTTCCACAAAGCCTTCCAAAGTGAAATCACCCAGTGTCTCGATGTTCACCTGCTTTCATTCGGAAAATTATTTTAAACGATTACCTACGATCATTGGTAAAAATCATAAAGAAACGCAAGTTTACCAGCATTTTTCATCCAGCAAATCAAGAAAATCATCAACAGTAAGCAACTCTGATTGACTTTCTTCAATACACGTAAGTTGTACCAAAGATTCACAGAAAAGTTACTGAGCTTCCGAGACATTCTTTCTTTATACGATGATTTTTTTCCCGTCATTGCCACTGCGCGGACAAACTGTTCGGGTGTGGATAGATGTCACCTGTGGTCCCAGCTTGATTTTAATTTCGCACTAATTGGTACCAAGTTTTTTTCGATTCAGGGTTCCTTTTGTTGCTCAGACGTCTTTTTCAGCTCACAGGGTCCTGGTGGCTCAGGTGGAGTTTTCAAATGTGAAGCTAAAATTATTTAATTGTACCGCACTAGTATTCGAACAAATTTTCAGAACTCCCTGGATAAGCCAAATTCACCACAATTCTCAATGCAATTCCGCGTGTTTCACAATACAATATTCAATTTACTAAAAATGTGAACTTTTCCACAGCACAACTCCTTAACAAACAAAACAAGTAATGCCCGTCAACATTCACTGAACTAACCTGAAGATCCGCGAGATGCTTGCAGAATAACTTCCAATAAAATATCAGTGAATTCTGCAGCTCAGCCTCTTCAATGGCAGTGTTTAGAAGGAACATTAACGCAAGGTCATCTTGAGGTAGCATTGATTCCACAAGCTGCCAATCGAAAACTATGCACTTTTTCACGTGCATCCCCTCTTCATCCCCTTCATTTTTCGGGTTATCTGAGGGCTGAAACACGAGAACGTCAGGAATTCGTGCTTAGAATGCAACTAAAATTGCAGATGATTATTGTACTTGGAAGAACAAATTCCGGTTGTAAATGTCCATGTGACAAATGGTCTGCAATGGAAGCCAAAAGCTATGGCGCCAGTTTGCTTCTCCAATCGAGTCGAACTTCTTCAGTTTCTCGTATACAGCTGCACCCTCATTTATTTCAGAAACACCGGATGCGTCCTTCAACAAATACTCTTCCAACGCGTTCCAACCTGATGAAGTTCGTATTTCTTTCTTTAATCCACTGTTTCGGTATACAGAACTCAAGACAGCAAAACGCGGAAACATTTGAGTCTGAAATTGCTTCGAAATTCTGCGAAATTACACAACAATCATCAACACGTGCGTTTTACTCCAATAAACTAGGTCCCGGGATCTTCTGATGTTATTTTTCATCCATAAGGTAGGTGTCGCCTGAATTTTGTGACTACAACCGTTTTAGCTAAAAAAAAAAATGATGCGTCAAATTGTATTGAGTTCACTTTGTTTTGGCTGGGTAAGGTTAGCTACCTTCACGTTCAAGTACATCACTAAACATGAAAATCTTTTCAGGAAAAAAGAACGAACTGAAGAATTTTTGCTTGAATGCCCAACTCTCACACTTCGTAATAATTGAGTGCCGTCATTCAGATGTCGCCTCTACTTAATTGAAGATAGATTCTCTCCAGAACAAGATGCAGGGGACCAGAAAAAATTCCTTGCACAGTAGATCGTAGCAGGTGAAGCATATGAACCCCTATATGGTCCCGAAAAAAATTCGCTATACAGAGAAAATCCTTGTAGAATCTACCTGAATGTTTTTTTTGCATCGATTCAGGCTAGGCTAGTCAACATCAAACTTGGACTGCACCTTCAATAAGGTTTTCTTAGAAAAGGAGATAAGTCACTTATGCTCTTTTTTCCAGCAGTTCATAGAAAATCGTAGTTCTGGTTCAGTCATCTTGCTTTCAAACTTTGTAAGAGTACTATCTTAAGAGTACTGCGATACAAAAAGGCTCCAGAAGCATAGTAAGACTACCCTTCCATCAATGTTCCTGATCTGCTGCTGACTGAGATTCAAGAAGAAAAGGGCAGACATTGAATTAGAGAGAAACATCCCAATCACAATGCATTCGCACGAAATCTCGACTAAACGTTGACACTCAGGTATTTTAGCTTCTTTCATAGCTACGATTATCCAAGGGTGTTCGGAGAGATATCGAAAATGTGAAAAAAAGTATTTTACTCGTTAGTTACCTAAGCTCACGTATTTGAAGTCGACGTATTGCTTGTGCATCGTACCAGCATTCGGTATGAATGGGAACAGCTCTTTCAAAGAACACTCGTTCTTCAGACGCAGAGCAATCGGTAGCGCGTGTAGAAGAGCCAAACTCTCCAAACAGGTTTCCAACGCTTTCCCGACAAGTCCTAACCAGAATTAAACAGTAAGAAATAACTAAGCTTCAAAAGATTAATTGTAATTTGAAATTCCAATTTTAAAAAAAATGCTACCTGCCTCTGTCCCAGGGGATTTTCACAAGCCCCATTTTGCGCAAATCTTGAAGAACAATGGACCGATTTTCATCGACCCCAATGGAAACCATGCGCGGAATCGGCAATGGTTCCGTCGTCAAGGATTCCAGCGCAGGTACCACATGCTGGTAAAAAGATATTTCTCTTTCGTGCATCCCAGTTTCTTCGATTTCCTTCTTCATCGCCGGATTCGTCGTGTGAGTCTTCACAATCAAATCCCATGTCTATGGGATCAGATTTGACACACGAGTGGAATCATTTCACTACATGGTTATCCGCTACATTATAATGACCACAAAAAAAGCAAGTTTATATAATCAGGGATACCTACATATCTTTAAATGTTGAAGATAACAGCTGATTGTCACATTTGAAAAATTGCAAATGCACCAACTTTCGACTTCAACTACAGTCTTGCTCTTTAAGTCGAACTTGAAGGGACCAGTAAAAAAATTCGAGATAGGAAAAAAATTTTTGTGGGGAAAGAAAGAAGAATCATAGGAAATTGTAATTGGTGATATTCTAGGCCTGAAGTGAGTCTTAAATGAGTTGACAGGATGCTGAACTTGGAGGATATGGTTCATTTTACCAATCAGTCTTTCGTTTCCTTTCAAAACACATCCACTTACTTTTTTTGCTTTTCTCTTTCTTGCGTCAATAAAATAGTGATCATAAGGCCTTCAAAAATTTGAGTTATGGAGGCTTGAGGAGGTAAGCCTTCGAGTTAGGAAGGTTTATAATAAATTGTTTCTAGGGGAATCCAGGCAGGGAGTTGAAAAAATTCGACACAGAGAGGGATTCGACTCCGGGAGATTTAAGTTGTCGAGGTTGAACTGTACATCTAACTTCGGTGCTCTGGATTCGGGGATGGTGCACTTTTATAATCATTTCAAGGACATTCAAAAATACTTTCTAAACGGGAAAAAATCGTTAAGGAACTACCGTATCTTTTAAAGTAGAAGTCTCGATTTATTCAATAAGCTGACATTTACAAATTCAGATTATCTTCTACTTGGAATGCATAGACGATAAAAGATAGAGAAGATCATTGTGATGTCCATGCTTTTCAACGGTAAAACTCAGCCTTTGTATGCAAAATTTAAAATAATCGAAATAGTACAAAACAGAGGCTTGACATTCCGCGAAGAAATCAGTTATGCACAGAAGCTGACGATTTTCTTTTTCTTTGTGGAAAGGCATGGATGAAAATCTGGAAACTTTGCCCGAACTTTTACTTTTTGAATTTTTCTTATTTTCAAGCCGTTCGTTCAGAAGTAATCACGAATGAAAATTCCGCAATTTCAATTTCATTTTTTGTCCACCGTGTAACTTTGAAAGATGGAAAAATAAAATAATAAATAAATTAAACGAACCTTGGAATTATCCTGCTTGTCGACAATGACGGCATGACACGCGAAAATGGCGCAGACGAATCCTTCACCCATTTCGCATCCGGGAGAGACTTCGAACGCGTCGAACTTCACAATTTCACCGGTACCGTACACTCCATTAGTTTCGAAAACGTCGCGAAGCCAATCCTTCGTCAGGAATTCACAGTTTCCTTCCATTCCACTCAATTACTTTTCCTGGATTTTTTTTCCGGACAGTAATAACAGCTTTCTTCACATTTTTTACTTCGGTTATAGACTCGCACATACGAGGGTTACACAGCAATCTCGTCGGAATTTACAGAAATGCGTTGTCTCTCGTTTTTCTTTTGAATCAAGACTGAATAAAAAGGAAGGGTTCAAATAATCCAATCTTCTTCAGAGAAACTTCCCCTTCTACAATGGGAAAAGCAAACCATTTCTTGTCATCTTGAATATTTTAAAATTCAAGTTTAGTGAGAGCATCTTATGGATCATTTTTACTTCCGCGCTGTTATATTCTCCAAATATTCCACAAAAATGTTGAGCCAATAAGCAAAATCTGGCAAGATACTTCGTTCAATTTCTTCGCGTATGGAATGGATAAAATAATCCAGGTTTTTCTCCCCATATTTTATTGATTTTAGTTTTTTTTTTTTTTCGAAAGGACATACAAACACAACCGCGGATATAACAACATGCTAAAGCAAACCGATCAAGTCTCTGGTAGTCGTATTTGGCTCCATCTTGTTTGCCAACAGCTCGGCAGTGGCAAGCAAATAGCCTTTGGGGCATTTCGGAGAGGTCATTGTGTTATCCATCACCCAAGAACACCACGGTCGGTGTGCAGTAAAGGCATCGAAGCCGGTCTTCAACACTTTCAACGTTTCGAAGTCCATGTTACGAAAGCAGTATTCGCACATGAGACCATTGTTCTTCTCGTTCAGCCTCCAGCCAGACAAAACCAGGAGGACAGCATTTCTTACTTGCTTTTCGCACTGATATCTTTCCAAGAAGCTCCGCTTGAACTGCTCCAGACGCTCAATCTGAGTATCGTTCATGTCCTAAAATCACAATTACCGTACTTTACTCGTTCGTTCTCAATACCCGGTCTTGAAAAACTTCTGCAGAACTTGGAACACCCTGTACGTCAGATATTAACCGTATTTAATCGAGTGGCACGCGCCTTCCACTCAGACTCGCACCTGGTTTTCAGGTTCTAAAATTTGGAATAGATCTTATCCCCGAATGGAAAGCGCACCCCATGCTCAGAGACTAAAAAGATTAAAGTTTTGAGAATAAAATGAATAAAAATGAAAATTTTGACTTAAATTGAATTAATTTTCCATTGGAAATTATTCTTTGTTGAAATTTTGTAGGAATCAAGCATCATGAGCATCTGAACTTTCGATTTATTAAAAATTGTATTTCTTCTCACGACGCGAGAAAAAAAGTTTCACGGGAAACTCGAGTAAATTTACAAAAACTACTTAGTTTCAACGTAAGAGTTGAATTTTTTAAAGCTAAACTTAATCCACTTGAGCGCTTTGTACCATCGCTTAAATTCATGTTCACTGACGGTAACGTATTTCAGCAGTTTAAACAACAGCAGTGACGCCACAGAAAAATAAATTCACTAACCTGGACCAAACTGGCATCACAAATCTCGGGCACTTCCGGTAACATTTTTGCGGAAGATGAAGACAACAATCGATTCACTTCCAGCTCTGTCACAGTGGCGTCAACAGCAGTTTGCGGCAAACTCAGAAAGGATTTTAAACACGGACAAGAGGCCCACAAACAACAAGGTTTATGCGCTGAGTGTTCTATCATTTCCAATGCCTTCTTATGACAAGCGGAATCTGGAAAATTAATACGACAATTACGAAATGCATCAATCACATGGACTACGCATGCACAAAATCGACGTAAAATTGTGGAAAATCTGAAACTTAATTTAATAAAATATTTAATTATTCATTATATTTATTTTTCAGTTGGTACAGTATTACATTAGATAATGCTTTGGTCACAGAGCATTTCTTCAACAACGTGGATTTTCGTGCGCAGCTGCGCGATTTCAGATCTTAGTTATTGTAAAAATAGGCAAATAAAAATCTTCAACTCACACACGGGAATCAAGACACTTTAAACTTGAAAAATGACTTACATAAACCTGTGTCACTATGAAGATCCGGCAGAACCAATTTCCAAATTTCTCCGCAGGTTTCACATCGCAGCAATCCCTCAGACGTTGATTCCCAGCCATAAGCAGCCAAATGACGAGGATCAATTGAAATGGCCAACCAACGAGAACTTGTGAACGTTTTCAAACGTCTTTGAAATCCCGGGAAATCCACTTGCGACCCTTCACATGTCCTGAAAAAATAATCTTGGAGGAGACGCAGGAATAAAATAAAATCACTGGGTGTCGTACGCTGATGGTGGAGGTAATCGCTCTTTCAGCAGATGGACGACGACGTCTAATGCATCACTTGTCCTAGTCATATCAAAAAATTTCCTTTCTGAAACAAAAACGCGCAGTAGAAATTTGCAAGGCAAGAACTCATTAAAAGAACACAATGAAGAACAGGAAATTCGAGAAAGACGGTGCATTTCTGATGCCGTCAATGGAACAGAAAGGAACATGCTTCCACACGTTCTCTCAGTTGGTCGTTGTCAGTTATCTATTCTTTAAAAATCGTGAAATGTACCTAATTTGACTGTGACCTGCGATCAAAATGCCTTAAATTCTAAAATCAATGCCGACAGATGTAAATCATGAAAAATTAAGCTCAATAATTCTTGTACTGCGTACACGACACAATATCAGGCATTTCCAACTTCAAATCAAAACAGACGAAAATTCCATTTGACTTTTCAATATTAAAAATCAACCGTTGGTAACCGAATTCATCCACTTCATTCATGGCTGTGGCAGCATCTTCCCAAAGACTGAAGCTGATGAATGCAGAACCTTTGAATGCCTTTATTCAAGATGGTCCAAAACTTGTAAATTGGCCCAATTTCCCGTTCACCCTGTACCTTTCAAAAAAAATAATAATTATAATTGAAGCACAGATAAGAAACAAACCTTCCGATGTTTCCGCTCGACTATGTGTAACAATTGTATTATAAAAATGTATTTAAAACCCTGAAAGGAAACTCGAATTTAGGATGTGCACAGCTGCAGATATTTTTGTCCTTCCTGCACTCAAGCCCAGACCCCCTGAGGCGTCACCACCTGTTGGGGGCCAGGGCAGAGTTAAAAGCATCCTTGGGAGCAGCTGCTCCACCAGGGGGATTTCCAGGAAGTCCATTTAAAACAGAAACTCTGAAAATCGGAAGAGAG